TGCTACTTTATGCTATTCTTATGCTATTTCAGCTATAGTTCTGCTACTTTATGCTATTCTTATGCTATTTCAGCTATAGTTCTGCTATTTTATGCTATTCTTCTGCTATTTCAGCTACAATTCTGCTATTTATGCTATTCTTCTGCTATTTCAGCTATAGTTCTGCGCAAATGGCATTCACACTTGCATTTTCGTAGGAAATGCAAATTTTTCTAGTTATTTTAGCTTTTAACGTGGATAATTTCATCTATAGGATTTTAGGATGGTCAAATACAGTATATTATAGTTTTACAGCCATATTGCCCAGTTTGCTGTGGCTTTTATGTTGTGTTTTGTTTCTGTTGAAAAAGAAGGGACTAGAGTTGTGAATTGAAAAATGATTATTATTAAAAAGAACAGTGCATCTAAGTACATTGTTCTGGATAAATAAAGGATAAATAAAACATAATTTTGTGTAAATCAAAGATTCTATTTGTTCTGTTGTTACTGGTGTCACAGAGGATGAGAAATAATTTGATCTTAAATTTATTCTAGTGACAAATCCTTTTCACAGCTCGGTTTAGTCGTGTTATCATTCTCATTTTTTAAATTTGTATAAAGAAGTCTTCCAAAGAGAAACAACAGTAAAGTGAACATAAAATGTAGCTGTTAGGGTTTTGGTGTATTTAAAAACTCAAATGCCGTATTTAGGATATACAGTACAAAGATAGGATGGAAAAATCATTTTATTTTTGCACAAATAGCTCTGCAAGACAGAATTTGTAAAATCATCAACTTTAAAAAAATTTCTCTGGGCACAACAAGGACAAAACACTGTTTGTAGGACTTGGATTTCTGTTAATTTAAATTCACAGAACAGTTTGTAAATCTGAAGTGATGTTCTAGAATCTCAGTGAAACAAAGGGCTGCTGAACAGTCTTTTGAACATTTCAATGTATTCGGAAAATAAAATCTCACAACTGGACAAACATTTATTCATAAACTGGACATTAGGACAACAAGTGATTTCACTTTGAGAAGAAAACAGGAAAGTATGTGGAAATACTGTTATTCTGCAACAATTTGACTTTGTGTTATTTTGGGAWGACTGGTGTTTGTAAGCAAATCCAATAATTCCTTAGGTACTTCCTGAAAGTCTTGTCACGTAACCCGTACACAATTGGACTTAAAAAGCAAGGAAGGACCTGGATTAGGACAAAATTTGCCAACCTGATGGATGGTAGCCCATTGGGGATAAAGTATAAGAAGAGTTGAGAGATTAAAGGTTCTACGTAAACCAATATACACAGCAGCACCTGGAAACCATGAAGCAGGATGGTCTTTTTGGCTTTTGAGACATCTGCTTTCGCAGCTTTGGCCACGTACATAATTCTAAAGAAGGTGTGGATCAGTGTCAAACAAACTACCACCAGAAAAAATATGTGGATTGCATCTCTYGTTTTCGCACTGTAGTTGCTCCTAAACACAGTGTCTCTTTCACAGAAACCCCTTGAAGTCAAAAACTGCTGGTCTTCTGTAATGAAAATGATGAAGACGTCAGGCAGCGCAGAAAGTAAACTTATCGCCCAGATGACGCCGATTACAATCTTTGTTCTTTTCACCGTACACATGTTGTTGTAGTGGAGGGGAAAGCAGACAGAAATGTAACACTCTATGACCATGCAGGCAAGATTCAGAGGCGTGTTCCTGGTGGAGAGAATGGCAAGCAGGAGGAGGAGGGCGCAGAGGAAGACGAAGACGGTGCGAAAAGCAAGAGCGAAGATGTAGAGCAAGATGCAGACYGCCAGCTGGATCACTTCATTCAGCACCAAGTGGATGAAAAGGATGTAGCGAGGGTTCTGCCTCAAAATCTGGATTGCACAACAAAATAAATCAACATAATAATAACCTAAATAAACCAAAAAGAAAAAAATCAGTAGGTCCTCTGGATGGGTTCTTCTTTAGTGAAACGTTTCGTCTCTCCYCCAAGAGACTTCTTCAGTCTGATGAGTTTCAGGTGAACTCAGCCTTATAAGCACTGCCTCCACATGGACAAACAGGTTAGGCACATGCAAAAGAGGGCCATCACCTAACAATAGGCTTGAATAGCTCTATTGTTCATAAAGGGTCATGTTCCCCATCACCTGACTTACTGGTTTGGATGCTTCGGCTGTGGTTATTTGGTGTTTTATGTGTATGAAGTGAGTGCAAGCGGGGTTCAACGCCCCCTTGTTTTTGTCCCTCTTTCCCTCTTTGTGTTGGTACGTTGGGGTCCTGATTCACACCTTTTGCTCACAGGGGGCTGAGTCATACTTACAATAACAGCGTTGAAGGAGGAGGACAACTGGACACGAAGGCCTCCATCTCTGTTTAATAGTGGACGGTTTTTCTTCTCAAAGATGGCTTCCTTTACTCCTCTCTCAAACCAACGGTCCTCTTTATCAAGGATGAGAACATCTTCATCCTTGAAAGAGTGACTGCTGGCCTGTAGACGAGTGTAAACTGCAGAGTCCTGGCCTGTAGATGAGTATAAACTGCAGAGTCCTGGCCTGTAGATGAGTATAAACTGCAGAGTCCTGGCCTGTAGACGAGTGTAAACTGCAGAGTCCTG